TCTTAAATCAGATGAAAAATTACTTAAGACATTAAAGGTGAACGGAAATATCCACGTTTAACATGTTGCAAAGTAAAATAGCTTACGGCCATACAGAGTCTACTTACGCCTATAAATTGATTGGTTGTCGTAGCCCTGGTTACTCCGGCACACGAGAGGATCTACCGGAAGCCCAGCTGATCCTCCTGTGGTTATGGTGTGTGTTGCAGGACGTGCTGGAGCTGCTGGAGAAGCGAGTGAAGTCTCGGTTCTCTCACAGACAGGTTCATCTCTTCAGCTCGCTCTCCTTCGCTCAGTATGTGGACGTGGTTCTCGATCAGCTCCGTCTGCCTCAGGACTTCCCGGACCACAGCTTCTCCACCGAGTGGAACCGCAGCGTCGAGGTACAGACACACATTTGCTGCTGTGATTAGTTGTAAAGAGGAAGAGATGAAACCGTATGAAAGCTGAGACTCTTTCATTAGTTATTATTGGATGGCAGGCGCTACTATAGTCAGTCCCTCCAGAAAAACGCGATTATGCGATCGCTGAATTCAATGCAAAATCAGCCAAAGTCCGCATATTTATGCGGGGGCCGCATTTTTTCAAATATGCCGCACTTTCGCCGCATAAATTGCCGATTTCCGTGCAAAATATGTGGGGTTTGCATAATTTCATAATCCTCGCATTTTCGTTGCAAAAAAAGTCACATGTATCTTAGCAGAAAGTTGAAAAATGTGCGTTTGCTTCACACAAGAGCAGCCATTTCCCCCTGTTTCCATGGGGACGTTATGAAGTGACGCAATTACGCGACGCCAGACAGACTCACGGAGGCGATTGACATCTCACAAATCAAACTCGTTTAACTGTCTGTCACACGTTCTACCGTCACATCGTTACTTAATAAACAACATAATATAAAAGAAGTAGCATCAAACAGAAATTACCCGCACACATGGGGTGTTTGAGGCGCACGTATAACACTGCAGAGAGTTCAACAGGGAGCGCGCAGCTCTTAAAGGGGCCACACCTTATTTACACTCGTTACAGTCTGAAATAAAACAAGATGAGAAATTAAATATTCCCAGCACTTTCTGTGATGTAGTATGCTTGCTTATCAAAGGAAGTAATAAGAAATTACTACATTGGCCTAGTGAGAACAGGATTTTGGGGGAATAACTTTTTTTCTCTTTTTTATCAAACCGCAATTTTTGCAAGTTCCCACAATTTTTGCAAATTCCTGCAATTTCATCCCATAAAATTGCATAAATATCCCGCATATTCTTTCCATCGCATTTTTAAAGAAAACGGGCCACGTAATCAAGGATTTTTGCCCGCAACAATCACAAAAAAAACTCCGCGTTTTTATGGAAGGACTGAATACTATTATGGTAAATGTTATATATAAATCGCTAATTTTTTCACAAATTTTTGGAAATTACCACCACAAAATCAGTCATTTTGATCGCAAAAATCACACAAAAAAAATCGTGAAATCCTGGAGGGACTGTTTAGTGTAGTTTTGTTCACACATCAACTGAAAACAGCACTGAATAAAAGATTCTTGGGATTTAGGAATGGGATATTTTTAACCCGTCACAGTTTTCTGACGTCTCCTTCGGTTCTCCTGCAGAAATTATGTGAAGATAAGTGTGTTGAGGAGGTTTTGAAGAGGAGCTTTAACTCCAGTAAAGATCTCCGCTCTCTGCATTCGCTGCTGGTAAGTTCAGATCTCGTTCAGACCACTTGAGTTGTGCTCCTGTGTTTGTGTGTCAATGATAAATCAACGATCGATTAATTGTCGATAACAGATTTAGTTGATAAGATTTATCAATTAGGGGTGTGAATCTACACTGGTCTCACGGTTCGGCTTGATTATGATTATCATATTTGCTTTACATGTGTGTAATTTTGTCAATAAATACAAGCAGTCAGATATATGAACGCAACCTTAAAGGGATAGTTCACTTTGAAATAAATTTTTTGATATGTTTTATCTTACCTCAAGGGCATCCAAGATGTAGGTGTCTTTGTTTCCACAGTATTTTCAATTTTGATATTTTTAGGTCAAACCGTTCTTGTCTGTCAGTCATACAATGGAGGTCTATGGTCACCACCTCAAAGAGCAGCACAGAGAAGTCCAAATTAAACATGATTTAATGACTCGTAAATGTAAGTACACATTAATGGCCTCAGACACGAAACGAGCGGTTTGTGTGAGAAAACCAACAGTATTTATATCGTTTTTACCTCGTTTTTTACTGTTGGTTTTCTCACACAAACCGCTCGTTTCATGTCTTAGGCCATCAATGTGTACTTACATTCATGAGGAATTTGTGTAATTTGATATCCGTAGTGTGAACGTGTGTTTGTGTGTTGTAGTTTCTGGCTGTGAGTCGAGTGTGTGTGTCTCATTCGACCCTCCGTGAGTCTGATGTGCTGGAGGCCAGTCGCCTGATCTCGGCCGACTCGAAAGCAAACGTCCTTCACGGTGAGACACTGATGTTTACATGATTTACACCGCATCTCTATGGGCCTGTTCACATCTGATTTATCAAAACGGGTCCGTTTACACTTGCTCACATAAATCAGTCATCGCAAAACGGTTATAAATCCGATCTTCAATTCCCCTTTGTGTATATATTTGCTGTGTCCTGTTATATGAGCACACGGATCCCTAACGACTTGCACTGAGTTGAATGGCAATAAAAGTATTGAATTTTGAATCTTTTAATGAAGGCGATTGTGTTTTGAGCATTTTATTTGCGTTTGCTTAATGTAATTCATCTGCGGTGATGCGTACTGCAATAACGCTATAACATCACATACCAGTCCCTCCAGAAAATTATGCAATTATGCGATCGCTGAATTCAACACAAAATCAGCCAAAGTTCGCATATTTATGCGGGGGCCGCATTTTTTCAAATATTCCGCACTTTCGCCGCATAAATTGCCGATTTCCGTGCAAAATATGCGGGGTTTGCATGATTTTTATAATCCTCGCATTTTCGTTGCAAAAAAGCCACATGTATCTTAGCAGAAAGTTGAAAAATGTTGCGTTTGCTTCACACAAGAGCAGCCATTTCCCCCTGTTTCCATGGGAACGTTATGAAGTGACGCAATTACACGACGGGATAGCTCACAGCTGAAGTTATTGCAGAGGCCAGACAGACTCACAAATCGAACTCGTATAACTGTCTGTCGCACGTTCTACCGTCACATCGTTACTTAATAAACAACATAAGATAAAAGAAGTAGCATCAAACAGAAATTACCCGCACACATGGGGTGTTCGAGGCGCACACAGTTCAACAGGGAGCGCGCAGCTCTTAAAGGGGCCACACCTTATTTACACTCGTTACAGTCTGAAATAAAACAAGATGAGAAATTAAATATTCCCAGCACTTTCTATGATGTAGTATGCTTGCTTATCAAAGGAAGTAATAAGAAATGACTCTTACATTAGCCTAGTGAGAACAGGGTGTTGGGGGAATCACTTTTTTTGTCTTTTTCATCAAACCGCAGTTTTTGCAAGTTCCCGCAATTTTATCGCATAAAATTTCATAAATATCCCGCATATTCCATCGCATTTTTAAAGAAAACGGGCCGCGTAATCAAGGATTTTTGCCCGCAACAATCACAAAAAAAACTCAGCGTTTTTCTGGAAGGACTGACATATAGCCTATAACACACTCAAACACGTTTATTTTTACATGTGGTTTCAACATCCAGATGCATTTACACTGCATTTACAATTTTGCCCCATTGACTTCCATTATAACCACATTTGTTGATCGCAAAGCCATGACATCATATAATTGATTGTTGGTGGTTTCCCTGTTGGGAAGCGGTACAATGTGTAATTTTTACTGTTGATATCTAGGTGGCACCATTATCCCTTTAGACAGGCCTGTGCAAAAAAAAAAGCTTAGTTTCTGGTTTTACATGGAGTTATATGATCATAATATGCGCCTCAGCTCTCAAACTGCTCTATGATTGTTCAACTTTTCAATTGTGATGTCTATCGTGGATGCACACATTGCGATATCGATGCCAAAATGAAATATGGTTCAGCCCGACAGGAACACTCATCTCTAACGTTCTCTCGTGCCTCTCCTCAGGTCTGTCTATCCTAGAGCTGTGTTTGATCATCGCTATGAAACATCTGAATGACACTTATGACGGAGAACCCTTCAATTTCCAGATGGTTCATAACGGTACGACATCCTCCCGCACATTTTAAAGTGGTGTTTATGTGTGAATGCTCATTTTCAGCTGGAATGAATGTAATTCGCTCCATCCCTCAGAGTTTAAGAAGTTCATTCAGAGGAAGTCTCACTCCATCCATAAGTTTGAGCAGCCTGTGGTGATGAAGGTCAGTGCGAGTGTTTGGACTGTCATCAACATTAATCACACACACTCGAGGCGTGGAAAGTTTCATTGCGGGTCTTTTGGTTTGATGCATGTGTGTATTGAGTGAATATGGTGGTGTTTTAACCACTGCACTGCACGGTTTCAATTATTCCGCTCCTATTCTAATGCTGTGTTATTCGATGCTGTGTGTGTGTGTTCAGGCGTTTGAGCATCTCCTGCAGCTGGAGCTGGTTCGTCCGGTAGACTCGGGTGTGTGTAAAGTCCAGCGTGAGTATCAGCTGATGAAGCTGATGCTGGAACACACTCAGGTGATGGAGGCGCTGCAGAAATACCCACAATGCCCCACAGACGTCAAGCAGTGGGCGCTCTCGGCCTTCGGCTGACACCGCCCCCTCTTTAACTGCTCTGATATGCATTTTGTAAAATGTATTTGTATAGTTTATATTTGCAATAAAAATTAAGTTAAGTTAAGTTGACCAGTTGTTGTTTTTTTAAATTTCAACCACAAAACTCCTCGAATCCATTAAATAATTTTTGTGTGGTTCAAGTGCGACTAGTCTTGGACCCCTCTGATGAACACTCGATGTTTGTTTCGGGTCAAAATGACCCGAGGGAAGGATGACAAACACATCAAAACAAAGAGTAGGTAATTATGAAGGTCATTTAATTGATTGTTGATTGATCATGGTTAATTGCAGGGGTCCATGATCCTGCGCATGGAGCTGAACCTGAAGCCCATGTCCCTGAAGCTCCTGTACTCTCCGGGTCTCAGGTACATCATTCTGCCCCGGAACTGCGGCTGCTCGTACATCAGCCAGTGCCCGTCCATCACGTGACAGGACCGGATCTCAGCCAGACGATAGCGGTCCGTCATGGAGTCGCAGTCGTCCGTGAGCTCGTGCATCGTCCCTCCGAAGTTCTCCCTCTCGTAGATCCTCATCCTGAAGGCTCCTCTGTGCTGCTCACACACACAAACACACGCTCTACAACACAGGTCTGGAGGTACTGATGTAACAGTATGCATCAATGAGGGTTAGTTAACACAATTTTACTTTTTTTTTATACGAAACTTGGTAAAGGTTTTGGTACTTGTTGTGTGAACACACAAAAAAAAAAATGGACATGATTTGAACAAGTTAAATGGTCCTCAATAAAATAGTCACACTGGTCAAAAAGTCAAACATGGTTTCCTCTAGTGGAAGCGTTCGGTACTGCAGCCACATCAAATCTGACTGAACGCTCATGTTTTGAGATATCAACCTCAAATTTTAAATTAAAACAGAGTAAAACATGTTTTTGAAAATTTATATTTCATATACAAATTTATTTTTATTTACAACAAGCATAAAATCCTGTAAATTTTAAGTTCACTTTTTTCACTTCAGCAATAATCGGTCAAGTGCCGTTTTTAAAAAGAGATCAAACTTCGGTCTGTCGCTCTAAAGCATTTAAGATTTACGGCAGTTTAAGTTCAAAAGTCAAAAAATGAATAAATCAATTATAATTACAGTGTAAATATAATTAAGGATCATAAAATCCCCTAAAAATACAAAATATTAAACAAAAATAAACACTATTGAACTAAAATATAGTAGCCTACATTGATTTAATGTAAATACAAAAATTTCGGACATATTTGACCAACACGCGAAGAGTGTCAGGGTTTTGATTCGTTCAAAAAATGTCATTAAATTGAATTAATGTACTATATTTCAGTTTGATAATGTTGTTTTATTTAATATTTAGTATTTTGACCCTAAGCCAGAGTGGGGCGCTGTACCTGCGGGATGATCCTGCAGGATCGGATGGAGTCGCTCAGGCCCAGTCTCTTGCAGTCGGAGTACTCGCCTCGACGAGCGAAGAACTGGTTCCCCATGAAGTTGGAGCGGTCGTAGACCACGAAGCAGCCGCTCTCCACCCGGCAGGAGTTGCAGCGGCTCAGGAACGAGTTGAGCTCCGGGCAGTCATTACCCGTCTCGTACGAGCGACCCTGGAAGTTTCTCTCCTCGTAGAAGATTATCTGGACCAAACACAAACGTGAAGGTTTATTAGGAGACCCAGCTAATTTTCTCTCAAAGCAAACTTCTGCCATCTGGTCTTTAACTCTTTCCCTGCCGTCTGTGTTTTCACTGTTATACGGTAGGTGGCGCTGTTACTCATCATCTGAAAATACTGAATCCACGGATCAAAACACAGGTGAAGAAAAAGCAGAAACAAGCGATAGAAGCACATGTAAAATAACATGATTATCAACATTAAACAGCATATAAATCAAACATCAGTGTATGAATGAAATGTCGAACCCATGAAGGGGAAAAGACTGAAGCTTTGAGGTGTTGATGGGCTAGATTTACTTCATCTGTGTTCTGATCATCGCTCTGACGTTTTTTTGCTCAGAATAGTTTTTTTTATTAAATTTACCCACATTCAAGTGTTTATAAAGAAGAATGCATGAAGCCAGAATAATTTTTTTATTTTTTTATTTTTTTTTGTATAAAAGATGCTGTTCTTTCTTTTGTTCGCATGTTCAGATATTCATACAACAAAATATTCTGGGAGCTAGAAAAACGTTATTTGTAAGTTTTCAACCATTTTTCATAATGTTACAAATTGTTTCAGAACGTTTAGAGAATATTCAAAAGTAATAGAAAAAGACCAAATGAAATGTTTCTTTTACGATTTCATAACCACGAATAGGCCTACAAACGGTTTAAAAAACGTTTTGAACGTGCAGAAAACATTCAAAAGCATCCCATAATGTTTGCAGAATAAAATCCAGGTTTAAATGCCATTAACAGTCACATAACAAAGACAAATTTAGATTTTATAAAACTGAACGTTTTGAACATTAACATGAGCAGTGGATGTTTGCTTACCTTGTTCATGGCTGGTTCTGTGCAGGACTGATCCGCCGCAGGAGCTTTTATACATGATCAGCTCTGCTATAGCTTTTTGTTATTCAAATAGTCAAAGCTGATGAACAAGCAAGAGAACTTTTCTGTTAATTTCTGCATCTATCACAGGCTTCCAGCAACAAACAGCTGTTGTGCATCGAATGCAGTTTGTGCCTCAATAAGATTAATGATCTATTTAGTCCATCATCAACACAATAAGAAATATAGCGCCTCACACTACACAACCATTCTTAGCTGTGTGGGATTAAAGAAAGAAAAATCTATAAATCTTGAACAATACTCAAATTTGCATCGGCACAGAAATATTAGCAGCGTTTTGATCAGCCTGAGTTGTGGGATTTATATATTTTATAATTACTATAGATTATTGATAATTATGAATACGTTGAAAAAGTAAGAAATTCAAATGATTAAACACTGACTACCTTATCTCATAATGAAACCTAATAAATAATGAGGATTTCAACAAAATGCACAAAATATGTTTGGACAAAAATATGAGTTTTTAAAAGCATTTCTGTTCTCATTCCTGCTGGTTTTCCTGGATTGCAGCAGCAAGTACAGTTATGATATTTAAGAGGGTTTAAAAGACTTTTATTCAATATATATTCAATATCTTATAGATTTAACCACAAACCATCAGATGAGAAAAAAACTTGAGCTGATTTAATCTGAATTTTGTCTTCAATTCTGCTTACTGAATCTTTTTTTTTTTTTTTGCATAACTCATGTTGACTGTCACTGAAGTAAACTGAATCAACTTTGAACTGAATTCAGTTGAATTATGACACTAATAACTTGACATGGCACCTTAGAATGCGGCTAGAAATATGAGAAAAAAATAGCTTATCTAAGCTAAGTATTGAGGGTTAGACTGCCATTAATGAGAGAAGAACATAAACCAATATATTTAACCACACAATACACATTAAAGCTGAAAAGTAGGCTATATAACCTATCTATGCAACTTTCATAAAGTAAAATCACTAAAAGCCTAAATTCCTTCAGCTGGATAAAATAGTCCCTGACTGTGAACAGCAACAGAAGTTATTTCGACGTTAGATGGCGACAAAGACTGTCTTTTGAATGAGTCAGTAGAGAAGACTTTTATATTGAAAGAACTCAAACTTGTGATTATGGAGAAGAAAGGCGCGAAGACAATCGGCATGGGAAAACCTCAAGACAAGTTAAAAGGACAATATATCGCAGCGGACATTCAAACGGATGTTTTATTGTGAATAGACTGATGTCCTGGAGGAAAGTGCTAAGTTATGTCTACTGTAAACGCAGGTAGGCCTAACTTACCTACACTCATTATCAAACATGTTTAAGTTGTTAAGAGTGGTTGCTAGGGGTGATGTGTAGTGTCACACAGAACCGTTGGGTGAAGCGGTCGTCATTGTAATGTTGTTAATATGAATAAAACAGCAGAGTAGACGGGTTTGGACAGAATCAAGGATTAGACCTAACCGTTTTATAAAGAGATGTAAAGTTATTACATTCATTATTTATATCGGCCTTATAGTTATGAACTTGATTTTTGTATGTCTTTTGCCTTCCGGACTAAGTAAGTTAATCTTCACAGCAGTCTTTCATAAACGGCTCGTTTTAAAATCTTTCCGGTCGACCGACTGACATGTGTTAAAACATCTGCTTTAAACAATACATTCCTCATGAAAACTGTCATTAACTTTACAGTAAGTAAATTCACTTCGAAAAGCTAATTACTCCTGGACAGCGATGCCAATAAAATTTACAGAGCAACAGCAACCGCCAAAACTTAAGTGCGAAGACAAAATTCTAAAAATGGCGGTGGCCTTGTTTTTTTCTCGGTTTCTCTGGTGCATGAGGTCTATAAATCAAGACAAATATTTACCGTCAGAAATGTGATAATGCCTGCTTTCTATGACCAATGGGTTGAAATCAGTCTTATTCAAATGATAAATTAGTGTTAATGTGTTTGTGTATATGAGGCCTTGGACAAAAGAGATCTGTGCTGATGATGATGATTCAGGGAGAGTGTGTGTGTGTGTGTGTGAGTGTGACAGGAGCGCTGAGAACGCTGAAATAGTTTGATCCATCTGATTGAACACACACAAACAGTTGATCCCACATCAGCCCCAGCACTGGACACTATCACAATCACTCCGGACGGGAAACCATCGGCTTCTGTTTGCTCCAGGAAAGATTTATCCACACTTATTATTTTGGCAGGCATGAATAATAAGTGAATAATACAAAATTAGTCGTAACTAAAGATACACATGTCCAAAGTTTTATTTTTGTACTATGGATGTACCACTTCTAGGTCAGATAGGACCCATAACGGCAAGCACGGAAATGACATGACTTTAAAAACACATTTTGCATATTTGCAGGAAAACATGAGCTGTGTTTTCAATCAGAGCCTTTTAACACTGTTACAATGAAAGGCTCTAAAACAAAATAATATTCGTTAACTGTCACCCATCACTATCCAAACTTAAATGTGTGTAATTCAAGAAGGCTTAAGGGATGTCAATATCTCAGCTCTGGAAGGGTCTAGAGCCTCCATTTTTGCACTCAGGTCTAAGTCCCATGGCCCTCTATCAGAATCCAGAGTTTCAACAGAGTTTTACGTTGTAACACAGTAATATTTTATTTGGGTGCAGTTCCAAACATTTTCCCTAGATGACAGCCAGGCTTATATGACCATATAAGGGCGCATCTATTTCCATATAAGGTTTGAATGATCTAATCTGAACCATATATTTGCATAATTTTCAATAAATTTATGAAGTAGACATATTCAGTAGTATGGGCAGTTTGGCAGTATTTAAATTCAACCTCTAATAAGTGCAAACAAAAACACGTATGTGTGCGTTATAGCTCGTCGTCGCATCACAAATTGACAATCCATAATTTTTACTTTAGGCTATATTTAAAGGATTTTCAGACCTTTTTTTCATAAAATGTAATTGTTGATATCCTTTGAACTCTTGGGCTGAAAACAAACTGAGGTTTCTACCAATCTTTCATGATTTTTCATGTTCATCGCCATCTGAACACGCCTAATGAGTATGAAATATTCTTGTTGCAAATTGATTAATTACTGTTCCTCAGTAAATTACTTAAAAAACACCCACCAAATATGAAAACTAGAGATTGTAAGCTTCCAAATGATATATAGTTTGTCAATATTACTTTAGGTTTTTACTAAGATATTATCATTTTAAATATATAATGGCAAATGTCCCACCTGTGGACTGTGACGGGTAATTATAGGGCTTGTTGTTGGAAAGATCAAGTCAGATCTCATTCATCAGGGTGTATCCGTACATTATTTGGGAACACTAGAGAGTGTGTGTGTGAGACGCTTCTTAACATGGGTGTGTTCAGTATTACTAAAGAAAAGGAATCTGTTGATTATCCCTGTTACCTGGTTACAGTGTTGCATGTCTGAACTAATTCGACCAACGTTTTTTTTACCCGGTTTGACGAGTTTCAAGCTCTCGGTCTGAAGGCGTTGCCTAATCTGCAAAAGATTATTACTGAACTTCAGAGCTCGATGAGAAACATGTCAAATATGATCAGCAAACTTGGAAAGCTTCCTTAAATGTTCAGGCAATGGACATTTAATAGATTCTAATAATTTTAATGATATAGACCGGCCAGTAAGGATTCAAAAATACTTTAGAGGAAGATTTTTTATTTTATTTTAAACATTGCATACGTTATTTATCCTCGTAACCTACTGGTCAGAAGTGGGCGGGGTCAAGAAGGTGATTATGTAAACTAGCCAATGATGTGTTGCCCTATGACAGAGTGATGTCACAATGTAATTAAAATAGAGTCTCAGTTTAGCTTCAAGTGAAGAAAAAGTTGAGTTATGAATGTAAAGTACAGTTGTACGTCAAAAATCATCAAGGTAAATCTTATTGTGTTATGTATGGAAGTAAAATGTCAAATGTTTTTGAAACAAAAAGCATGTTGAATTGCACCAATTGAAAAAAATGCATTGCGTTAACCATGCTTGCATTTTAATCCATTGTATTTTTAAGGCTTGCATTTTTACGGGCTGAAATTCAACATGGTTGGATATTTCAGCTGGGAATATTTCATTTAAAAACATTTCAAACACATTTTCATGATTAAAAATTCAATAATTCACCTTTCATATTTCGCTTCCAAAATTTTCAAACTGTTTAAAAATACAACCTATAATATTCAACAGGCAATTTTCGGGTCCATTTTATTTTGCGGTTGAAAATTTGCTTCCACAAATTCAGTGGTACAAATTCGACAGTAAATTCAACAGTGATGTCCAGGAACTGCAGGAAAAGCAATAGATTACCGAGCATACTCTCCATCTGCTGTTAGTCGGCTTTACCAGCAAGGGGTGCAAGCGCGTTTTAAAACAAAACAACAGGAGAGGCCTTCACAAAACGTCATTTTTTGAAATGGACAGAGCGATGAGTAGGCTATGAGTCTCTACCATGATGATATTTGTTAATCTCTGTGTTATAACATAAAACTCTGTTGAAACTCTGGATTCTGATAGAGGGCCATGGGACTTAGACCTGAGTGAAAAAATGGAGGCTCTAGACCCTTCCAGAGCTGAGATATTGAGATCCCACGTAGCATTTATGCCATTATAAATATCTCAATATCTCAGCTCTGGAAAGGTCTAGAGCCTCCATTTTTGCACTCAGGTCTAAGTCCCATGGCCCTCTATCAGAATCCAGAGTTTTGAGAAGATTGGGATACTTAATTTTTCGCCTGAAAAAAAAAAAAACAAAACGAAAGGGGTAACACTGTCGTTTTTTTTTTTTGGTCAAAATTTTGAGTTTTGATATCTCAGCTCTGGAAGGGTCTAGAGCCTCCATTTTTGCACTCAGGTCTAAGTCTCATGGCCCTCTATCAGAATCCGGAGTTTCAAGAAGATTGGAGAAAATTATTTTTTCGCACCAAAAAAAAACGACAGGGGTAAACGACAGAGATATTGAGATATTTATAATTGCATAAATGCTACGTGGGATGTCAATAAATCAGCTCTGGAAGGGTCTAGAGCCTCCATTTTTGCACTCAGGTCTAAGTCTCATTGCCCACTATTAGAATCCAGAGTTTTGAGAAGATTGGGGATACTTAATTTTTCACCCGAAAAAAAAACAAAACGTAAGGGGTAACACTGTCGTTTTTTTCTCTGGTCGAAAATTTGAGTTTCGATATCTCAGCTCTGGAAGGGTCTAGAGCCTCCATTGTTGCAATTAGGTCTAAATCTCATGGCCCTCTATCAGAATCCAGAGTTTTGAGAAGATTGGGCAAACTTAATTATTCGCCCCCCCAAAAAAAACGTAAGGGGTAACACTGTCGGTTTTTTTTTTCTGGTCGAAATTTTGAGTTTCGATATCTCAGCTCTGGAAGGGTCTAGAGCCTCCATTTTTGCACTCAGGTCTAAGTCTCAAGGCCATCTATCAGAATCCAGAGTTTTGAGAAGATTGGGGATACTTAATTTTTCGCCTGAAAAAAAAAAACGAAAGGGGTAACACTGTCGTTTTTTTTTTTGGTCGAAATTTTGAGTTTCGATATCTCAGCTCTGGAAGGGTCTAGAGCCTCCATTTTTGCACTCAGGTCTAAGTCTCATG